GCCGATAACTAAATAATAAATATTAAAATTCTCTCTCTCTCTACCTCTCTCTCTTTAAAAAAATAAATAAATATATAAAAATTTTAAAAAAGTGCATGCTGCAAATGGCTTGGCAGAGACTCTGGCAAAAAGAGATGTTAACACCGTCAAATACTGTTCAACATGTTCTAAGAGTAAATCTAGAACTTGCTTCTACAAATGCAGACTCAGAAGGACCTTCTGGTAGGCAAATGAATGGTCATTAAGTATAAACTTAGGAATGATGAGGAAGCTCAGTGATAGAACACTTATACATTCAAGTCCAAATTCAATCCACAGCACACAAAGGAAAAAAAAAAGGATAAATTTAATGGTAAATCAATCCATATCACAGTCCTAAGAGTGATCAAAAATTAAACATMGGGCTGGGATTRTAGCTCAGTGGTAAAGTGCTGGCTTAGCAAGGGTGAGGCACTGGGTTCGATCCTCAGCACCACATTAAACAAATAAACAAAAAAACAGATAAATTAAACATATAGGGGCTGGGTTTATGGCTCAGTGGTAGAGCACTTTCCTAGCATGCATGAGGCACTGGGTTGGATTGTCAGCACCAAATATAAATAAATAAAATAAAGGTCCATTGAGAACTAAAATAATTTTTACAAAACTGTAGTTTAAAAACAATTAAACATATAAATCTGATTACACAGCCAGGCACTATCTGTAGTCTTAGCTGCTCAGGAGGCTAAGAAAGAGAACCAAAAGTTCAAGGCCAGCCAGGGCAACTTAGCAAGACCTGATTCAAAAAAACAATATAAAAAAGTCAGGGGTGTAGCTCAGTGGCAAAGCACCCCCGAGTTCAATTCCCAGTGGGGAGGGAACAACCACTAATCACACCTAGAGTCAGTTATATTAGGATATTCTAAATATTTACTTCAAATATAGAGAAAATGTCATTTTAAGTCTCACACCAGTTTATTTTTGTGACACTAGGGTTTGAACCCAAGCAACCCTCATGTATGCTAGGCAAGCACTCTACCACTGAGTTATACCTCCAGGCCCCAGGACTTATTATTTTATGACTGCATTCTGTAAGTATTGGTTCTTGGACCTTCTGCATTGAAATCATTCCATTCAGAGACTGATTCACTATGAGTTGCTTGATGGAATTCAGCTGAAACCTAATTTTAAAAAGATCCCCAGGTAGCCAGGCACAGTGGTGCATACCTATAATCCCAGCAACTTGGGAGGCTGAGGCAGGAGAATCACATTGGCTCAGGATACAGCGCCCCTGGGTCCATGCCTGGTTGGGGGGGGGGGATGGATGGATCCCCAGGAGATTCTTATGCATATAATTTTTTTTCCAGTGTTGGAGACTGAACACAGAGCCTCATGGTAGGCAAGCATTCTATCACTGAGCTACTCTCCAGCTCTTTTTATTTTGAGACAGGGTCTCACTAAGTTGCTGAGGCTGGCCTCAGACTTGTGATCCTCCTGCCTCAGCTCCTGAATATCTGGGATAACAGGTGTGCATCACCACGCCTGGTTTACGCATATAAATTTTAAAAATCACTGCTATACTATAAAGGTGATATAAACAAAAATTTTGATTTGCATTCCAGAAAATGCACTTTAATTAAAAATAACTAATAGGGACTGGGGCTGGGGCTCAGTGGTAGAGCGCTCGCCTAGCATGTGTGAGGCACTGGGTTCGATCCTCAGCACCACATAAAAAAAAATAAATAAAAATTAAAAAAAAAATAAAGGTGTTGGGTCCATCTAAAAACTAGAACATTAAAAAAAAAGAATAATTTTTCTCAGGAGAGCATGGTGGCTCTCCACCCTGTACTACTCAATTTCTTCAAACTCTATTGCTCTTTTGCTTTATGTAACAATTACAACTGCTGCTGAACACATGGAACATAAGTACCATTTGGGGGGGAATTTTTCTAAGTACCATTAACAAGCAGAACTTAAAACCCAGCAATTCTCTCAAATCAAAATAACCAACTGAAAAAGTATGCCCCAAGCATTTAAATGCTTGCACTTGTGTCAAAAAGTTGATTATAGGGGCTGGGATTTTGGCTCAGAGGTAGAGTGCTCGCCTACCACAGGCGGGACCCAGGTTCGATCCTCAGCACCACATAAAAATAAAGGCATTGTGTTGTGTCCATCTACACCTAAAAATAAATATTAAAAAAATAAAGATATTGTGTCTACATAAAACTAAAAAATAAATATTAAAAAAAATTTTTTTAAGTTGATTATAAGAATTAACTTTTTTTAAAAATCTCAGGATTAGAAAAATTTTAAACATAGGAAGGGGCAAGTAAGGTATTTCCTCTTCTTTTTTAGTTGTTGATAGACACAATACTTTTATTTTATTTGTTTATTTTTATATGGTGCTGGGGATTGAACCAAGTGCTTCACTCATACTAGGCAAGTGCTCTACCATTGAGCTACAACATGCCCCCTAAGGTATTTCTTTCTATCAAAAACAAATGTGGGCCAGATGCAGTGGCACATGCCCATAATTTCAGCAAATCGGAGGGTAAGGCAAGGAGGCCAACTTCAAAATTAGAGAGACCCTGTCTCAAAATAAAAATAAAAAAGGACTGGGGGCTGGGCGTGGTGCGCACATCTATAATCCGAGTGGGCTCCAGAGGCTGAAGCAGGAGGATCATATTCAAAGCCAGCCTCAGCAAAAATGAATCACTAAGCAGCTCATGAGACCCTGTGGAGACCTTGTCTCTAACTAAAATACAAAATAGCGGGCTGGAGTTGTGGTTCAGTGGTAGAGCACTTGCCTAGCATATGTGAGTCCCTGGGTTCGATTCTCAGCACCACATATAAATAAATGAATAAAATAAAAGTCCAACAACATCTTAAAAAAAAATTAAAAAATACAAAATAGGGCTGAGGATGTGGCTCAGTGGCAGAGTTTCCCTGGGTTCAACTCCCCAAACAACAACAAAACAGGGGCTAAGGTGTAGGTCAACCATAGGAGGTCCTGCATTGGATTCCCCAAACAAAACAAACAAAAGCCAATTATAACATGTTGAGAAAGATCCTTAAGGTAAAAAGGGAAAAAAAAAACAAAAAACTGATAGGGGCTGGGGTTGTACTCAGTGGTAGAGATCTGGACTCTCACATATGTGAGACCCTGGGTTCGATCCTGAGCACCACATAAAAATAAATAAGCAAAATAAAGATATTGTACCCATGGATAAAAAAAAAAAAATCTTTTTTTAAAACTGATAAAGAGGGCTGGGGATGTGGCTCAAGCGGTGGCACGCTCGCCTGGCATGTGTGTGGCCCGGGTTGGATCCTCAGCACCACATACAAAGATGTTGTGTCCGCCGAAAACTAAAAAATAAATATTAAAAAATTCTCTCTCTCTCTCACTCTCTCTTTAAAAAAAAAACTGATAAAGAATAAATTTGTACTATTACAAAGAGCAGTGGTTTACATCATCAGTGAAATAAGTTTGTTCCCTTAAAATTTTCAGGTTATCTTCATTTGATTTTAGTATAGATCTATAGTTGATTTTCATTTTTGAACATTAACTACCTCTGGAAAAGGAAGTCCTAAAGGCCCCAAACTGACTCAATCTTCCTTGCTAATACAAAAAAGACAGGAAGAAAATGTAAGGAGGAACAGAAGCATGTTCTTAATGTGAAGGAAGAAAAATAACTAAAACACAAATAAGCAAACTACACTTGTGACCAGGTTAGCAGTATTGATTACTTATGGATAAACTGAATCCCAGTTCCCAGGGAGAGAATCGAAGTCTGGCACAGCTCTCTAGCAACCCTTCTGGCTGGCTGAAGGAACACAGTGGGCGCTTAAAAAGTAAAGGAATAACAGCAGGATAGAGGATATCTCCCCGAAAATGCAAGGAGAATCTTGAAAGGAGGGAGAAAACGAGCAGAGCCAAAGGTCAGAAACTTCTAAAAATTATGCCTCAGAAGACAGCAAGGAGGAAGGGGAAGTAGCTTAGAAAAAAAGGGGGGGGAGGGGGACAATGACTAGCGTTACAAAAGCATTTCGTGTCCCCAGTGGGATAGAGGCAGGGGGAAGGCAATAACGGGGGAAGTACAACGTGAAAAAGAAGTAGGAAAGCCAAAATAGACTAAAGTGAATTTCTCTCGTGTTCTCTTTTCGGAGTGTCAACAGTACCAAAAGGCAGACCACAAGTGCACTTCAGCTCCTGTGCAAATTGCACTTTTATAGCATCTGAAGCCAGCCTAGAACACTCTCCAAACAAGCCTTAACTCATCGGGCTTACAATCATGTACGTATAAGGACAGCATTGCAAACAAGCATTCCCAACGCCTTCTCGCGCAGAAATCTTTTCCTTCGAGCATTCCAACCTGCTGCTCCTTATTTTCTTTGACAAATATTTTTCAAGTCGTTTAAAGAGAAAAATGCCAGCATCAAAGGCATGGCCATAGGCTCCTTCAACTCACGGTGGATTTCCGCACAAAATTCGGCCCAAAGAAGTCAAGAGATGGTGACGTGTTGCGGTGCAGGTCGAAGGAGCATCAATCAGCACGTCTGCAGCCTGCACCGAATCCCCCGCCTCCCGGGCTAAGTCAGCCTGACTCACAGAACTAGCACCCTCTCCTCTCGGCTGCTCCCGGGCTCCTGCGCAAACCCTCACGACCAGGGCAAGAGCCTTCCTGGGGGAACCCCGGCCTCTTCCTCGCGGTTCGAGGCTTTGCCCGGACCCGGAGGGGCCGTCCCCTGGGAGGAAAGGGGGAAACGTGGGGGTCCGGAGCGCAGCGATCTGATCCTCGTCCTGAGCCCCAGCGGCCCTCGGCAGGCTGGGCCGGGTCCGCCCGCTGCCGAGCCGAGAGGAAGAGGCAGCGAGCCGCGCTCCGCGCCGCCGCCCGCACTCACCGTGGCGCAGCTGCTGGTTCTGCGCCGACCCCGCTCCTCAGCAGCGCTGCGCGCGGCTGCCGACCCCGCTGCTGCTCCCCGAGCGCAGCACCCACTCCCGCCGCCGTCACCGCCTCAGCCTGGGTCGCTGCCGCCGCCCGGTCGCCGAAGCAGCAGTGCCGCCTCGCTTCCGCTGCTCGTCCGGGTCCCGCGAGAACTTCCCCACGCGGCCCCGCCCCGCCCCGCCCCCGCGAGACTTGCTCCGGCGGAAAAGGCCAGAGCGCAAGCGCCCCTCCTCGGCCGGGCCCCCGCAGGTAGATGTGCAGGGTGCCTGCGCGCATGCGCCAGGCCGCCCCGCAGCAGGTGGCTCCGGCGTGGCTCCGCCCCAGGTCGCTGTAACTCTTGTCAGTGCCACAGCAGATAAACACAGCTTTGCGCTGAAGGAATAACACTTTCCACGCTCTGATTATTTTCCCAGCCCTTAYTATCAAACCGAAGCAGTGAGACAGGAGGGAAGAGCGATCTCCTACCATGGCGCACTCCAAATAGAGGACCAGATCTTTGAATTGTTTGGGAATCCGAATCATACAAACTGCAGTGTTAAATGGATTCATGGATACGTTCTGTCTCTSTGTGTGTGTGTGGCGCGCGCGGTGGAAATTGAACCCAGGGGTGCTCTATCACTGAACTGCATTCCATCCCTTTTTAAATTTTTATTTGGGGACAGAACCTCGCATGTTTGCTGAGGTTGGTCTCGAACTTTCTATCTTCCTGCCTCAGCTTCCYGATTAGCTGGGATCACAAGCGTGCGCGGCCCCTGTGCTTGGCAGGATGCGTTCTTTCACAGACCCTACCGCGCCTAATCTTTGTCAGCACTTTGCTGGATATTGAGTATAAAGCGAGAAATAGAAATCGTGACCCTCAAGCAATTCACAGCATAGAGAATTAGCAAGGAAATAAAAAGTTCTGTTCTCACTATTTGGGGGAATGCTGAGGAAATTAAAAAGGGACAGGGTCTCTGCTCGCCGCAGAAATGTCTTCACAGAAAAGGCAATGTGGAACTGAGTCTTGGAGAATGAGTAGGAGGTGGACCGACAGAGGAACCGAAATTAAGGCATATCAGGCAAAAGGAATGGCACGTAAGGGCTGGGGTTGTGGCTCAGTAGTAGAGCACTTGCCTAGCCTGTGTGAATCACTGAGTTTGATTCTCAGCATCGCATATACATAAAATAAAGGTCCATTGACAACTGAAAAAAAAGTGTGTGTGTGTGTGTGTGTGTGTGTGTGTGTGTGTGTGTGTGTGTAAATAAATTGACGCTTCAGAAATTCCAATAATCTTTTTCCTGGTCAGATCTTGTCCATAAAGTTCTAGGGAACACCCTATAAAAGGGGCCCATTGTGATTGTGTTCAGCCATTGATATCCTGATTCCATATATTGATTATGGGGGCAGGGATTRCGATGTCATTGTGGGTCCACAGGTGAGGTGGCTCTGCTATGCAGACCTAGAAGCCAGACACTTGTAGAACTCAAGTTGTGTTTTAAGTATTTATTTAAAATAAAAGAATCACGGCTCCCATTTTCACTTAAGCACTAGTTCCTCTTTTGTCTTATTGCAGGCTRAAGCAACCCCAAGGAATATGTTCTATGTTGGGCATTCTGCTGAAAAATAATGAAATAACACACGGAGAGAGAGGTGATACAAAGAAAAGAGGAGTAGCAGAGTGGAGGTAGGGGGACACTGGAACGGGAAGGGGGCCATGTGAGTAGGTGATGATGACCCAGTTTGGGAAATATAAAGTTCAACTCTTCAGGGGCCATACAGGTGGAAATATCCAGTATGCAGCTGAAAAGCTCAWTGCATTCCTTCATTCTCCCAACATTTATAAGCATCTGTTCTACAGCACACAGGACAGCCCTTCCCAGAGTTTGCAGCTGGAAGTGGAAGTCACACCTCTGAGAATATGATGAGTGGTACTGAGAATGTGATGGGTTTTGGGAGCACATAGCAGGAGCATACCTCTTCGAGGATTAGGAAAGCAGAGGAAGTGAGTTTTAGCCTGAGACCATGGTTAGCCTGAGAAAAAGAAAGCGTTCCAGGAAAAAGAAGAACATAGCATGTGAGTGAAACAGAGAAGCTCATGGGACTCCATTTTATGGGCTACTGAGACAGGGCTGGGCCACAGTTAGATTTTCTTCTTCAGAATATTTTATCACTGTTGCTGTAAAGTGGAAAATTGATTGGAACTAAAATATTTATCATCTCCAAGATAATGTGTCAAGTCCATTTTAAGGCCCTTAAAGATCAGCCCCCTGGGCTGGGGATGTGGCTCAAGCGGTAGCGCGCTCGCCTGGCATGCGTGCGGCCCGGGTTCGATCCTCAGCACCACATACCAACAAAGAAGTTATGTCCGCCGAGAACTAAGAAATAAATATTAAAAAAAAAAAAAAAAAAAAGATCAGCCCCTGCCTGCCAGCCCTATCCTCTCAGCCCCTAGCCAACACAAACTCCACCAATCGTAAACCACTTGTGGTTTCCGGAAGGTGCCATGATCTTTTGAAGGTCCCTATCTCTGCACATGCAATTTCCTCTACTCAGTGGGTCTTCTCCCCTATATTTAGGTCTTCATATTAGTATTAGGACTTCTTCAAAATTTTTATTATACTTCCGATCATACTGCATCTTCATTTGCTTACTGTCCCCCAACTGTCCACCCCCCCCCCCCCCCCCCCCCCCCCCCCCCCCCCGCCATGAGGGTCTACAAGCTTTGGGACAGACATGACTATGCCTTTTCACATATATCTCAGGACCCAGCACAGAACATGAAGTTAACAAATGGATGAATAAATAACACAAGCTGAAAAGAGATAAAAACGTGAATACTTTTCTGTGCAGTAGTCATCTTTGAAGCTAACAAAGTAGAAGGAGATCTCAAAAAAGATCAGATGGCCAAGAGAAGTAGGAAAAAAGAGGTGTGTGCTTCCTTTTTGAATGCAGCCTTTATAAAATAGACTCAGTATGTCTACATAAAAACATATGCTTATGGACCAGATTGGGAAGTGAACATTTAAAAGTAACAATATTTGTGTCAAAATGTTGCAATTGTGGGTGACTAAGTAGAAGTCACACTCTGGTATGAAAATCTGTTGTAGGGCTGGGGATGTGGCTCAAGCGGTAGCACGCTCACCTGGCATGCGTGCGATACAGGTTCCATCCTCAGCACCACATACAAAGATGTTGTGTCCGCCGAAAACTAAAAAATAAATATTAAAAAATTCTCTCTCTTAAAAAAAATCTTAAAAAAAAAGAAAAGAAAACCTGTTGTAACTGTAGCAAAACTTGCTAGTTGCAAACTGACCACATCAGTCACCTCAGAATGCAAAATAATCACCAAGAGTTCTCTTTTTCCTCTCCAGGTTTATGGTCATTTTTAATCACCTGAAAGGGTTTCTGGCTTTATTTTGTGTGAGTATGGTGCTTCCACCTGCAGGTTAGAACTGGTAATTGCTCTAAAGTTTACTGAGCCTCAGAGGCCCCAAATTGTCTTAGGCACATCCTTTGAGATGTCCAAATTTCTGTTTAGTGGGAAGGAACCAGACAGTCAGTGACAGCCTCATCTTGGTCATTTGAAATTCTACTCCATTTGCCTACTTGATCTTGGAAGCTCTTCTGGAACTTCCTTTGCTTAAGTTGTAAGCCAGTACTCCTCTCAGGAATTGAGGGTTGTTCCTGATGCAGAACCAAGCAATGTGTCCCAAGTGCTGTGACTCCCCCTCCTCAGCATCTTGATCCCATTCCTATCCCTGACCTGGTAAACACCACCATCCTTCCTTGGGGTTGCTTCAGCCTGCTAAAGGGTCACCTTAGCCCGTTTAAAGCATTTATTACATTGCAGCTAGAGTGGAYTTTATGAGACACAAATAAAATCATGGGGTCGCAGATAGAGACCAGGGTCCTCAGCATGCCTGTCAACTCTTAGTCATCTCCTTTTGATTGCTTTGTCACTATTGTATGCATGTGTTGGGGGGGGGGAATCCAGGCTACTGGGGACAGATCCCATGGCCTTACCTAAGCTAAGCAAGTAGTCTATCACTGAGCTATACCCCAAGCTGATTTTAAAATTTTATTTTGAGACAGATTCTTCCTAAGGTGCTGAGGCTGGCTTTGAACTTGAGATCCTCCTGCTATAGCCTCCCAAATAGCTGGAACTGCAGGTGTAAAACCACCCATGCCTGGTTATCCCTATCTATTGAAAGTTTTTTTTTTTTTTCTGAAAAACTGCAATTCACTGACCTCCCAGTTTTTGTACATAGTGCTCCTTTGGCTTGAATGCTTTCTTTTCCTGCCTTCCTCATCTTCACCGGGCTCTTCTCTGCCTTTTAACACCCAACTCCATTGCTATCTCTTCAGCGAAGCCTCCCCAGGTGATCTGCTTGCTCTAGTATGTTCTCAGGAGCTGCAGCACACTCCATCTTTGCTCTTTTTCTATATTTTTGTAAGTTGGTATTTCAGGCTGACTTGTGCCCCAAAGTTCATATTTGACATCCTAACCTCCCAAACTTCAGAATGTGGCTGCATTTGAACCTAGGGGCTTTAGAGAGATAATTAAATTCAAATGAGTCTGTTGGATTGTTAATTCAATATGACTGGTGTCCTTTTAAAGAAGRAGATTTAGACACAGAGGTGCATCAGGAATGTACATACATTTGAAGGCAGCAAGCCAAAGAGACAGGTCTTAGGAGAAACCAAACCTACCAATGCCTTAATCTTGAACATCCAGCCTCCAGAACTGTGAGAAAGTAAGTTTTTGTTGTTTATTTTATTTTATTTTATTTTAAAGAGAGAGTGAGAGAGGAGAGAGAGAGAGAGAATTTTTAATATTTATTTTTTAGTTCTCAGCGGACACAACATCTTTGTTGGTATGTGGTGCTGAGGATCGAACCCGGGTAGCACGCATGCCAGGTGAGCGCGCTACCGCTTGAGCCACATCCCCAGCCCAGTTTTTGTTGTTTAAGCCATCTAGATTGGATTTTTTTTTTTTTTTTTTTTTGCTATGGGAGCCCTAGCAAACAAAATGCATTCACTTTCCTTCTGCCCTTTAGAATGAGTCTGTCAAAGTGGGAGCCATATCTTGTGCTCTTTGGCTGCCTGATCCATCCAACTGACAGGCATGCACCCCAACAATAGCCAAATTGACTGGCTGCCTAAAAAC